ACGACATTAATATTACTTTAAAAAAAGTTATTTGTCTATGTTAGACAATAGTTTATCAAATATATAAGAAAACAGCAAGTGTTTTATGGCTGTAATATTTCATAATAAAAGTAATTAGTGGACTGTGTAAATCATGAAAAGTTTGCTTAATAGTTTAATAAAATGTCTTGCATGAGTTTAGCGTCATGAGTAGCAATAACATTTCACACCATCGGTAAAAGAGGAAGAAGCTTAGTCTCATGACACCGAACCGCAGCATTATGCACTTTCAAAAGCATGACTCAGTTTGATGTGGACGTCTCATGGTAAAAATACATTTAAGGAACTGAGACAAACATCTGCATATGGGTCACAGAAAGAGCTTGCATATCACCCCTTTGAAAAGACTGCTGTCTGCTTCCTTTTTTTGTCCTTTTCTGTGACTGGCCCCAAGTAGCTGGCATTTGTGAGCTGAGTGCTTATAAAAGTCATGAGTTTACATTTTATCCCAACCAAAACATGTCTGTCATCTCTCAGAATACAGGCCTATCCATATTCATTTGCTCTCTCGCTTGTTTTTTTCTTTTTAATTCCATTAAAAACTTTAAAAAAAAACTTTTCACTTTTTTTTAACAAACAAATAAATAATTACAAAATATTTTTACATTGAAAATTGGCATTACATAGGTCTAGAATATCACTAATAACCGCTTATAACATCCTAGCATTCTGGAATTGTTTTGCAGTGAGCTTTTTTTCAGAGAATGTAAAAATAATTTTTTTCTTAGCTTTTTTTTCTTATCTGATCTGTACCTTTCTCCACCTTGTGACAAACAAAACTTGTAATATCTGTAATATCTGCTAGCAGGCAGTGCCTGTGTTGAACGTGGAGCGTGCTGACCTTGTTTTTGCCTGTAAAACCGTGTGGTTTGGGGTGGGAAGCGGAGAGCAGATAGATAGGAGCTTTTAACGCTGCCTTTTCTCGGTGAAAGCACAGCGCTCAGGGCGCCACGGGTCCCTTGAGCCTACCGCTCTCTCGTGAGATGACAAACGCGAGGTGCAGTTTGCTGTGTTTATTTTTAGAGACTTTCTTCTGTTTAACTCTGAATCATGCTGTGCCGTGTCCCGGTGGAGTCTGCGTTACATCTGCTGACAGGGAGACACATGAGGAAAACACATATGAACACGCACGATTCACAACACAACACAAGTATTGACTACTGCACCTTTTTATCTCTGCTATAGTTTCTTTGTTAAATTAGATGTATTTTGCACTTTAAGCATTTGATGTCTTCTCAGAAAGCTTGTAATAATGTTAAATGAATAGTTCACCACCCTACATTTTGTGATAATTTTCCACCCTCTTTATTCCTCAAAATTAAACAGGCTGTTTTTGCTTATGAATTAATACTTTTATTCAGCAAGGACATGATACAGATGATCAAATGTGACTTTTTTTAATATTGTGTTTTTGCCAAACTTATTTTTACTTGTTTCAAAAGGGAATAAATCAGTAAATAAATAATTTAAAAAAACAACAATTTAAAAAAATTTTTTTTTATAAAATTGGTTTAATAAATAATTTTTGTTTATTTATAAAAAATGCACTTATATATGTCTAGATAGCAGAATATCAGAGACTTTCATGGCTCTTTTTTTTTTAAAGGAATTAATACTTTAATTCAGCAAGGATGCAATAAACTCATCAAAAGTGACAGTAAAAACATTTATAATGTTACAAAAGGTTCATCTTTTGATATTTCTATTCAACATAAAAAATCCTGAAAAAATGATATCCATCAAACTATTAAGCTGCACAACTTTTTCAGCATTGAAAATAATAAGAAATGTTTCTTGAGCACCAAATCATCATATATAAAAATAATATCTGAAGGATCATGTGACACTGAAGACTGGAGTAATGATGCTGAAAATTCATCTTTGTATCACAGGAATAAATTACATTTTAAAATATATTAAAATAAAAAACATTTAAATGATAATATTTCACACTATCACTGTTTTTACTGTATTTTGGCTAAACTTCCCATTAGCAATGAATTAGCAAGTTGCCGAAAACTGTAAATAGAGATCTATATTGAATGTAAATATGGAGGTCCATATGTTGATCATGTCATAACCATGATGATTTTTATATGACCTTTTTAAAGCTATGTTTTCAGTAATTATATGGCTGGAAGGGAGAGAGAGCTTTGCAATGTGAGCATTAGCATATGACTGCATAGTGCTTTTATTTTAAAAGAGTAAAGTAATGCTGTGTACTGTTTAATTTTACTACTAAACAGATGAAAAATTATATTTGTCCATTTTTATTCACGTAATGATTGAATTCATTGAAAGGTCATCATGAATTCATCAAGGAAGTTACTTAATTCTTCATGAAACCTTCAAATTCAGTTCTAAATCACTGCATATGCTCTGCCCTAACAACATGGCATCTGTTCTCAATTTGCACATGTGCCACTGATGTCTGTCAAGCGTAGCCTGTCAGACAGGTGTACTCCAGTTAGTGAATGTCCACACTCTCTTGGTGTGTTCAGCTGTTTTCCACCTGAGGCCTCTTGTTACTTATGAGCAATGCTGGTTCAGTTACACAGACATCCTTTAAAAACCAACAGTTTTTCCTGTAAATTTTGGAGGTTTGTCATAATAATTCTGTGTTCACAGAGATCACTTGATTCAGTGATTTTTCTGACCTTCTCATTGTGGTCTACAATCTTTGAGTGTTTCATTGCATCATCAGCCATGTAACTAGAGAAGAACAGGACTAGGATCCTGCATGTGTGCGATCAGGAATGTAGACATGTCGTGTGAGTTTTCACTGTTGTTTCTTAAATGAAGAACCTAGTAAATTCCCTTGCCTTATTGGAAATTTGTTTTCACTTGTGCTCTTTTCAAGTTCATAACACATCAGGTTCATAACACATTTCACTGTGTTCTGTCCAATTTCATCATGGTACTTATGTTTTGTGTCACAAATCTCACATTTTTATGACAAAATCAGATTTTTCTTAAGATTTTCAGTAGGTACTGTAGTTTGTAAGTTACAGAAGTGCGCAGGACCCCAACTTCAGCATAGCGTTTGTAATGATTTAAAGGGGTCATATGATGCGATTTAAATTTTTCCTTTCTCTTTGGAGTGTTACAAGCTCTTGGTG